CATACCCTCCATACTCCTCTCCTACACATACTGCCCACCACTGTGCCCTCTCTACTCCTCTCCTACACATACTGCTGACCATCATACCCTCCATACTCCTCTCCTGCACATACTGCCCACCACTGTGCCCTCCCTATTCCTCTCCTACACATACTGCCCACCACTGTGCCCTCCCTACTCCTCTCCTACACATACTGCCCACCACTGTGCCCTCCTTACTCCTCTCCTACACATACTGCTGACCATCGTACCCTTCATACTCCTCTCCTACACATACTGCCCACCACTGTGCCCTCCCTACTCCTCTCCTACACATACTGCTGACCATCATACCCTCCCTACTCTTCTCCTACACATACTGCCCACCATCGTACCCTTCATACTCCTCTCCTACACATACTGCCCACCACTATGCCCTCCCTACTCCTCTCCTACACATACTGCTGACCATCATACCCTTCATACTCCTCTCCTACACATACTGCCCACCATTGTACTCTCCATACTCCTCTCCTACACATACTGCCCACCATCGTACCCTCCATACTCCTCTCCTACACATACTGCCCACCATCGTACCCTCCATACTCCTCTCCTACACATACTGCCCACCACTGTGCCCTCCCTACTCCTCTCCTACACATGCTGCCTACCATCATACCCTCCATTCTCCTCTCCTACACACACTGCCCACTATCATACCCTTCATAATCCTCTCCTATACATGCTACCCCAGTCATGCTTTTTGCAAGCCTCTCTTGCACACAATGCCCATCATCATACTTCTTCTGTACACACTGTCACTCATACCCTCCATACTTCTCTCCTCCTGGAAAGGACACACCATTAGCCCAAAACACACAGTGCCCACCTTGGCCAGCAATGGCAGTCTCCTTATTTCTCTCAGAAGAAGTTTACTGTTATCCCATGACAGAGATGTGTATTATACGAAGGGGGGAGGGCACATCATATTCTGAAGCTGAAAGGATCTCACCACTGGACATCCATTAATCCCCATCACCCAGGCAGCCACATGCTCACCTGAAGAAGGACCCTCTACAGTGAAGAAGACAGAAGATTCGGTACCTGGCATGTCACATTTTAGTTAAGGATTTTGTTTTTTCCTAGCATAGTGATTAGTTTGGGAATGGGGACAAGGGGTATGGGGACATTAATGCCTAGAGCAGGGGCAGGCAACCTTTTAGAGATCTACCTGGACAACATGGAGGAAATCAAAGATCCCTGGGGAAGGGAGGGGCGCCCTTTAATTAACAAAATAACTATTAAGCCCCCAATAATAACACAGCATAGTGTCATATGCCCCGCCTTGCCCCCCGCTAGTTTCCTCCACTCCCCTCAACCCCCCCTGCTCTCTGTAGTGTAGTACTTTCTGCTCCCCCCCCTTCCCAAGTAGTGTCCTGTGCCTTCCTGTAGCAGTGTCCTCTCCCCCCCCCCTTCATATCACCCACCACTATAGAGTCCAATGCCCCCCCCCCCTCCAGCCCACAGTAGGCTCCCCTGTCCCTTCTCCTATAGTAGTGACCTGTGCCAACCAAAGCAGTGTCCTCTGTTCCCCTTCAAATCACCCCTCTCCCCACTGTACGGTCCTCCTGCATCCCCACAGTAGTGTTCTGTGCCCCCTCAAAGCAGTGTCCTCTGTCCCCTTCCCCCACTGTAGTGTCCTTTGACCCCCCCTCCATAGCAGCATCCTCTATCCCCTTCACCCCACACTATAGTGTCCTCTGCCCCCCCCCCCAGCAGTGTCCTCTGCTCCCCCCTCCCTCCCACAGTAGGATCCTCTGCTCCTCCCCTATAGCAATGTTCTGTGCCCCCCAAAGCAGTGTCCTCACTCCCCTTCACATCCCCCACTGTAGTGTCCCCTGTCCTCCCCCTATAGCAGTATCCTCTATCCCCTTCAACCCCCCCCCCACACTGCAGTGTCCTCTGCCCCCCTCCTCCAAAAGCAGTGTTCTCTGTCCCCTTTACACCCCCCCTGCAGTGTCCTCTGTTCCTTTCACACCCTCCCCCCCACTGTAGTGTCCTCTGTACTACCCCCCCATGCAGTGTCCCCTGTACCCCCCCCCAATGTAATGTCCTCTGTCCACTTTAATGCACCCAATGTAGTGCCCCTGCCCCCCCCCCAATGCTGTGTCCTCTGTCTCCTTCATCCCCCCCCACTATAGAGTCCTCTGCCCCCCCTAGCAGTGCCTGCTGCCCTCACCCCCCACAGTAAGGTCCTCTTCCACTCTCCCTATAGCAATGTTCTGTGGCCTCCAAAGCAGTGTCCTCTGTCCCCCCTTCACACTGCCCCCCCCAACTGTAGTGTCCTTTGTGCCCTTCCAAAAGAAGTGTTCTCTATCTTACTTTCCTTCCCTTTACTTCCCTAACACAAGGAAGCAAAGTAGTGAAGTCCTGTACGAAATCCAATTCATTCCATTTAGAGCTTACACAAGACTGAAGTCATTTTTCCTATCCCCATGTGACAATGCAGGGTGTCTGGTGTCAGGTACCCATATCTGCATTATGGAAGGAAGGAAAGTGAGTGACATGCTCCCTATACCTGGAAGTACTGGGAGTCTTTGCTCTCAGTGGCAGAATGAAGAGAAAAAAAGGGTAGTATATGCAAGGAGAAAGGGATATTCCAGTGAACCTGTTGCTTTGACTTGCGTGGGTATATAAAGGCCTGTCATATCATTTTATCAGACAAGGGGTCACATAGAACATGCCTGCTGTAAATCTGAGACAATGGCAGCTACAGTGTATACTCCAATCAACATGTGCGCAGACCTTTCTATTACAGCAGAAGAGAGTAGATGTGACAGAACACAAAGCTGGATGTTTATGAACAGACACAAAAGAACCCTTGGTTACTGTAGATCCATACACAGAAATCGAGGAATCCACATTCATATGTAAAACCCTTCAACACTACAGTCCTGGCAGTACAGTGTTGCGGCCCATGAGCGACAAAAGGCGGCACAAAGAAGTGTGCATGTCTGAACAAATGTCAGTGAGCCTACTCATTCCACATGAGATACAGAGCACACCTTATCATCATCATTACACTGCAATTCTGCATCTAAGCCTACTGGATCAAATGAAGGCCAGACTTCAAAAGAACCTGGTTACAATGGCTATGAAATAGTTCATCTGCAGTCCTGAAGTCCTGTACAAAATCCAATTCATTCCATTCAGAGCTTACACAAGGCTCAAGTCTTTTTCCCCATCCCCACGTGACAATGTTGGGTGTCTGGTGCAGGGGCGGACTGACAACTCATGGGGCCCCCGGACAATAGGGGATCATGGGGCCCCTGTGTCCTTGGCCAAACTCAAAAAAGCCTATGAAAAAGGTACCAGGGGCATCTCATGGGGCCCCCTACTGACCCCAGGCCCTCGGGCAGTGCCTGAGTTTCCAAATGGTCAGTCCGCCCCTGGTCTGGTGTCAGGTACTCATATTTGCATTATGGAAGGAAGGAAAGTGAGTGACATGCTCAGATTCATATCACCAACTAAACACACTTCTGCTATGTGAAAATGATGGGGTTCACACCATAGAAATGCAGTCCAGATGCGTTCTGGATGCATTTCTGCATGCGTGTTTTTGACGTGTTGTCTGGTGCATTTTGTTGCTTTCTGATTCATTGTTTCCCCTCTCTTTTTCTTCAATTTAAATAGAAACATGTGCATTCCAGTGTGTTTATGGTGCATTCCAGTACAGTTCTGGGCAGGAAAAATGCAGCCTGTTCTACTTTTTTTTCTGCAACTGGAACGCACTGGAACTGCAAGCACTGATGTGAACTATGACATTGACAACCATATAACCTACTTTCTGTGCGTTTTGGATGCAGAAAAAAGCAACTGAAATGCATGTAGTGTGAGCTGGCCCTTACACGCATACAAACAGACACATATAGGGCAAAACTGGCATTATTGGAGGATGTAGGCATAAAGCCTACAGACCTCTAAGCCCCACACCAGTTACTAAACCACCAATGGCAGATTACACCAAACCATTCTTTGACATAATACATGAAACACCAAACCACAAATGTAAAGCATACGCAGACCATGACTAGTGGGTTTAGCAGCCATATGCGGCATGTAGCAGACTCTGACCAGACGGTCATACCTCTCCAATAAGTTTGAATCTTGTACTTTAATAAAACTGATATTTCAGTGCAACACAGCCCATTTATTAATAATACATATTCATATATATATTTATTTCAAAAAGTATTCCAATCCCCTTCACTTTTTTCAATTTTGTTATGTTGCAGCCTAATACCACAGTTGTTTAAAATGAATTTTTTTCTCATTAATCTACACTCAGTACCCCATAATGACAAAGTAAAAACAGAATATTAGATATATTTGCAAATTTGTGAAAAAGGAAAAACTTTTTTGCAAACTCCAAGCGGGCTTTCCTGTTTTGCACTCAGGAGAGGCTTCCGTCTAACCCAGGGGTCTCAAAACTGCAGCCCGAGGGTAGGATATGGCCCTTTGCTACCCTTTATCCAGCCCTTGGGGCACTACTCCTCCCACTGAGACCAACAATGGGGTCACTTCTTCCACTGAAACCAATGATGGTGTATTCCCATTAATACCAATGATGGGGCACTACTCCTCTAACTGACCATCAACCCTGAGGCCATGTTTATTCTCACTGATGCTGGGGCAAGGACATTTTCTATCCTCACTGACCCTACTCTGACCCTGCTAAAGTTGGAAGGACCATACACTGGCCCTTTGTTTGAAAAGTTTGGAGACCCCTGGTCTTACCACTCTGCCATAAAGTCCAGATCAGTAGAGGACAGGGGCGGACTGACCATTTGGAAACTCGGGCACCGCCCGAGGGCCGGGGGTCAGTAGGGGGCCCCATGAGATGCCCCTGGTACCTTTTTCATAGGCTTTTTTGAGTTTGGGTAAGGACACAGGGGCCCCATGATCCCCTATTGCCCGGGGCCCCATGAGTTGTCAGTCCGCCCCTGGTAGAGGGTTACAGTGCTGGCTGTCATTCTGTAACTTTGTCCCATCTCTACACAGGATCTGTAGAGCTCAGTCAGAGTGACCATCAGGTTCTTGGTCACCACGCTTACTAAGGCCCTTCTCCCCCCATTGCTCAGTTTGGCTGGGTGACCAGCTCTTGGAAGGGTCCTGGTTGTGCCAAAACGCCTTCCATTTGAGAATTATGGTGGTCACTGTGCTCTTGGGAACCTGCGGTGCAGCAGATTTTTTTTTATTTTTTTTTTTGCTTTCCCCAGGTCTGTGCCTTGCAATAATCCTGTCTCTGAGCTCTGCAGGCAGTCCCTTTGACCTCATGGATTTTGCTCTGATACAGTATGCATTGTCAGCTCTGAGGCCTTTCTAAAGAGGTGTGTGTCTTTCCAAATCTCGTCCAACCAATTTATTTTACCACAAGTGGACTCCAATCAAGGTGTAGAAACATTTTATCAACAATCAAGAGAAATGGGAGGCACAAAAGCTAAATTTCAAGAGTTGTTGCAAAAGGGCCTGAATACTTATGCCAATGTGATATTTCAATTTTTCCCTTTTCACACATTTGAAAACATTTCTAAAATTCTGTTTTCACTTTGTCATTATGGGGTACTGAGTGTAGATTAAAAAGAAAAAAATGAATAAGTAGTACAAGTAGTATCGGGCTGCCACATAACAAAATTGAAAAAGTGAAGGGGGTCTGAATACTGGCACTCTGAATACTGGCACTGAATGAATGCAATATTATACATATAGGGAATGCAGCATAATGCATACTGTATACTTCAACCAGTTTACATCACGACCAGACTGCTGACCGTAGCCAACTTGGCAAAGTGCCCAGGACAGAGTTTCTTCTCTAAGGCGATGCACAAAGCATGCACTTTACAGAGAACTCAGCTCTGGGTGTGAAGAGCCCCAGGGTTGCATTACAGGTGATTATAAAGGCAGAAAATAAAAGTTGCCATAGGCATAAGAGGGAGGTCAGATGTGCATTGTGATTTGATCATCCTAACTGCCATTTCCATGAACAGAAATGTTTGGCAGCGTGCTCGTGATTATGCTATGCAAAGTGTGGGGTGGAGAAATGCCCAAATGTTGTGAGCTGCTGGACCTCCCAGGGCTGTCAAAAACAGTTTACTATGCTTCAGTTGTGAATGATTGTTATCATTGTGTTCATTCAGGAAAGGAAGGGGCTAGTAAATGTGACATATTTACTGGACCCTTCCCCCACTCTCCATCCTGAAGAATCCTGGTGGGAAGCCAGCAGCACTGCATGGGTAGGGGCACTCAGGGGGGCCTGGGCAGCATATGGTGCACAGAGAGGGTGATGGGTGTGGCAGGGGGGCAACTACTAAAACCGATCACCTTTAGGGGTCTCTCTGCAGCAGATGAAAGCCAGCAGGAGGGACAGGAGAAGAATCCAGCTTTCAGATGCTGCAGAAAGAGACATACAAGGGATCTATTCTTGTAATTGCCCCCCCCCCCCATGCCGATCACCCTCTCTGCCCACATCTGATACACCCAGCTGCCTGGGCCCTCCTGCCGACCTGGGCCCCATACAGGAGGACAGGTGGTGCCCCCTTATCCAGGGCCCTGCTTCACCTATCCTGGAGATATGAGAGTATTGCTCACATGACAAAAAGGGGGCTGCAATGCAGAGATATAATAGTATTTATTTATTACTGGAACTTATATAATGCCGTCAATTTACGCAGCGCTTTACATATATATTGTACATTCTCATCAGTCCCTAACCCTCCAGGGGTGCACAATATAAGGTCCCTAACTCACATAAATAAACATACTAGGGCCAGTTTAGACAGGATCCAATTTCCCTATCAGCATGTCTTTGGAGTGTGGGAGGAAACCGGTGTACCTGGAGGAAACCCACACAGGCACAGGGAGAACATGCAAACTCTAGGCAGGTGGTGACGTGGTTGGGATTCAAACCAACAACCCTAGTACTGCCAGGTGGAAGTGCCAACCACTTAGGCACTGTGCTGCCCTCAAACCCAATTTACATTATGTGCACTATACATGACTCTGTACTGGTCTCTGAAACTTTTCCAGTAAAGACATGGGATTTACTAAAACTACAGCACGCAGAATTGGGTGCAGCTGTGCACAGTAGCCAATCTGCTTCTAGGTTTTATTGTCAAAGCTTAATTGAACAGGCTTAACAAGCGTTAGGCTCCATGTACAAGGGACTTTTGGAAAACTCCTCTGAACGATGGAAACCGACTGCTGGAAAACGTAGGTTAAAAAACGTCTGTTTAGCCACGTTTGCATACTGCGTTTATGCGCGTTTGCGTTTTGAAACGTTTTTTAAAATAACCTCAAGAGACCTTCCAAAATGCCCAGAATGCACTGAAAAACAGTAAAAAATTAACTATTTCAGAAATTTTGAGAGGAATAGAGAGAGCAGAAGCAGAGAAAGCAGTATGTGTTGAGATGACCTGTCTTTTCTGGTTGTATTCACTATGGATCCCATCATGAGCATAACGCGGCACGTTCTACCATTTTGTCCTTCACGCAAAACCTGGAACTGACTGCACTGGTGTACCGGGTCCATTTGAATACATGGAAAACACTTTGCATGCATTGCTGATGATGAAAAAAGGCTCTGGACAGCATCTGGATATGGAACAGTTAAAACACACTTCTAAACGCAAACGCTTATAAACACGGTTAGCTGCGTTTACAAGCGTTTGGCATTTGAAACGCTGATAAAATCTACTCCTGAACGCAAGTTTGGTGCATTCAAAAAACCGACCGTAAACTCAACTGCCTGTAAACGACTGTAAAAACGACATAGTGTACCTGGACACATAGGAAAACATTAGGGAGAGTTCAGGGGTGCTGAAAAAAACACAGAAAAGTTCTTGAATGTCAGTTTATCAGCCGCAGTGTACATGAGCCCTTACTATGCACAGCCACACCAGATTCCGTTTACTCCAATGTTAGTAAATTCCCCCACAGGGAGCAATGAAACCCAGACAGAGGACACAACTGCTGTGGCCCCTTTGTAGAGTTCTGTCTTCTCTTCTTATCCTGGAGACCACCTCTGTCACTACTGTCTCCATAAAGAAAATTAGATGACATCCCCCCTTGGGACAGCAAAAAAAGAAAGAATTCTAACATGGCATAGTTCTAACCAGTTCTGCCCGACATGTCACTTTGCACCCCAACACACACATACACTGCACTGCAAGGCACCTGAGCTGCAGAGCACCACAACACACAGATATGTGCAATGTGGTGTGTTATAAAAACATGCGCTGAAGTGGGTCCCCAGCACAATGAAAATGAATGAGATGCCTATTGCAATGCACCTCAAGGCACAAAAATGAGTATGTTGTTGGGCACTGTGCTGTCCCTAAAAGCAAAACCGAAGGCTTGCACCTTTTTATCTGTCCATGGGCGTGTACCCTGCGTATTATGATCAGTAACTGATTTTTGTTTGTGCATGCCTTCAACTGCCTTTTTCTTTAGGCGCAGAACTGATGGCACTAATATGTTGTAGTACCTGTCACAGCCTATGGTGGCACTGTTGTCCCATTTGTATACCTGAAGTCAGCAATACAAACTCAGTCTCTTATTACCTGCAAGGCTATAAATAGAATGTGAATGAATAGAATGTGTTATAATCTCTTGTTATTCTGGTCTCTTCTGGGTGTGAGAATTCCCTTATACATTATGCTGATTTGTGCTCTTTCTACTTTCTTTACTTGTAGACTATAAAAATGTATCAGACTTAAAGCGGAGTTCCACTCACTCTGTAAAACAATAAAAGTCAGCAGCTACAAAAAAACTATAGCTGCTGATTTTTTTAAAAAACAGCCACTTACCTGTCCCGCGATCCTGCGTTGCCCCCGCCGCAGCCCGTTTCACCGGCTGTCCTGTATTCCAGGAGGCTGGCATCTCAGTGTGGGCACTCGGCTGTGACAGCTTGTGGCTTCACAGCCGGTTGTCCACTGCGCATGCGTGAGTAGCGCTGCGCTTCCTGAATGGCCTCGTCATCTTCTGGAAATACAACACTGCTTCTGTCAGTTTTGTTAGCTGGCTCCTAAACATTTAGTAGGACAGCACAAAACAGCATGTATTTATCATCACTGACTTAGTATCTAACCTTTCCATATTGTACTAAGATGTAAGTCTATTAAACGGAGATAAGCTGCGATAATGATTTTCGCAGTTTATACCCTCTGTGGAACAGTTTATGAAGCTGTAAGGAGAGGCAGAGAGAACATTCTCATTATAGCACAGTGAGAAGTAGCCATGCAAGCAAATAGCAACAGTCAGTTTATTAAGTGTGATTAAAAGCACCTGACTGGTCTTGGATGAAAAAATAGTTTTCTCCTACTCTTATTTACCAAAGAAGTGGTGAAAAAAGGAGAGAAAAGACAAAAACGGCTGCGATCTGAGAAGGAAGTATAAGAACCACTGTATGACCTCTGTCACCAATTCCGGACCCAGTACAATATGTTTTAATAACATATAGACAGATAGGAGGAGGGAGACAGTGTAATTGCATGGTGAAATTGCATTGACTGTTCCCCATAGCACAGATCGCTGTCATATTTGTATTATGCAAATCTAACTTATTCCTTAACCTCTTCCCGCCCACCCCAAGCATCCCTTTAAAAAGTTCTGCACAACCAGGGAGAGGAAGGATTGGTGATCATGTGAAGAGTGTGTCTAGAGGGCACACGGTGAGGTGCCAGTTCTGCTGGCTAACAATCGTTAGTAGGGATCAAAAGTGGTCTTTGACAGATTGGTCTGTGCTGGAATCGCATTCTCAACACAGAAATATCAGCTGTCCAGTGACACGTGTTATGGGGGCGGTAACAGAATAAGAACCTGCTGTACACTGAAAAATTTATCTCGATCAGCCCTTGGACTAAACTAGAGAACTCCTTAGATTCTCCCATCCACCCTAAACAGTGTGGATAAAGGCATTTCTCCTGCCAGCTATTGTTTTCTGACAGTTCGCACTGCGGTAATTGTTCCACCAACTTTATTCCAGTTGGCTCCTTGGATTTGTTAATGGATGTGTGTGAAGCTAGGTGGTGGCAGCAGG